TAGTACTCAGCACCTTTGTTTATCCAGTGTCATGGTGTCATGTCAACCTAAACTCAGAAAGACACATGGCCAAGTGCGGTCACAGTCACACACACCTTGTGTTTGTCTTGTCGTCGCCCGACCCTTTCTGATAACAACAATCCGTGTCCACCGGTGTGCCCCGGGGGCTGCTGGCGCGCTAGAGGCCACCCTTAGCTCGACGCGAGGAGGGGGGGGGGGGTCCATGCTCACCTGTCGGACGAGCAGCTGGGTCACGTCGTCGTCTGGTGGACGTGGGAACACAACAACAAAAGCACAAACCGACGCACAGGTCGCTCCGATTATTTTAACGCATCTCTGATATGTGTTGTTTTCTCTTCGCCCCCCAGGTACTGCGTTCCGTTTGAGGTGATCAAGGCTTCCAAGGCGTGCCGGAAGGAGAAGGGATTCGCCGCACTCAGAGAAGGTTCGTTTTAAATTTATGTCATTGTTCGTAAAAATTTAAATTATCCAAAGGAATAAAACATCAGAAACATTTTCCTTTATTTTTGAGTTTTATGGACAAGTTATCTGCAGTGAATGTAACCGTTTGTAATAATTTTTTGCAGGGTCGCGGGTGTGCGTGCGCTGCGAGGCGCAGGCGATCCGCAAGGCGCTGGGCTACCGCTGCCAGGGCCACGGCGTGGTGGACCGGGCGACGCGCTGGTCGGCGCTGTCCGCCACACACTGCCACGGCAAGTGGGTCCGGCTGGAGAGCGACCAGCCCGAGCCCGAGCCCGACGCGGAAGACGTGAGTCAACTAGCCATTTGAATTTTACACTCGTTAAATTTTTCAAGGATTTTTTTTCAACCTTTCAAATTTTATTTTTTTTGAAAAGTTTCAGTTTTTTAACTTATTCTGAAAACGTTTCAAATTTTTCAGAAAAAAAATCAGTCATTAAAAAAATTCTTGCAAATTTTTGGATTTTAAATATATTTAAATATATTAAAGGATATATCCTTTCCCAATGGTGTAATACTTTGTAATAATTTTTCACGACCTTTGTTCCTGACCAATGCGGTTTGGCGTGCGCAGGAGATGCTCGGCGACTCTCCGGACGAGAACCAGGTGGTGGACGAGGAGGAGTCGGCGCCCAAGCCGCCGCGCCGCAAGGAGCAGAAGGACAAGGCCGTGTCGCTGGAGTGCCCGTCGTGCAAGAAGGGCGCGCTGTTCATCTTCGTGTGATCGGCAGGGCGGAGCGCTCAGGACTAGAGAAGGAATTGACTCGGCGGAAGCCATCATCGTGAGTGCACTGTGTGCAATATCGTTTTCGTACAGTGTGTGGTTGTTTGCGGTCTCATTCTAAATGCGGACCCCTTTGTTGCTGTAAATGAATTTAAATTTTAACATTCGCGCGGACTCCTAGAGACGTTTTGGAAACTGCGTTGCCTCGAACATGTGAAAACGAAAGGGATATTCGCTTGCCATCTTTTCGGGAACGTTGTCTCTCGATAATGTGTTTCATGTTCTCTTCTTATTTTAACTGATTGCTGGTGTACTTCCCCGAACATTTTGGAACGTCCTCCCTTGGAGGAAAATTTTTATTGTTGTAATTTGTAGAATGTTTTTTTTTTAAAAGTCAAGTGGGAACAATAACGCAGCAGAGCGGAAGAGCTCTACGGTGAGAAAGATATAATATATTACGTAATTTTAAGAAAAATGTTAAGTTTATGCACGTTAGGCCTATGGAAAGTTGTACCTTGCCCTCTGTAAATAGTCTGCTACCAGGCTCTGCCGAAAGTCACTGACCTGTGGTCTATTTTTAATGTCCACGTGTACTTTTCTGTTAATTATTTATCCCTACTATGGTTCTCCTGAACGAATATACTGCTTCTGAGTAGGGACAATCAGCATCGTAGCTGCAACGGCTTCCAACCGGTAGAATATTTATACACAACCGAGATTCCTGCATCACCGTCAGGTCTCTTGGGCTTCCATGTTTAAAAAAGAAAGCAAAAAAAAATACTAAAAAAAAATTATTAGGTTGAGCAAGCCCGATCTATGGTTGTTTTGAAAAGTTTCCCGAAGGTGCTACATCAAACCGGTGTCAAAGATAAGATGCTTTGTATTCGCAGAAGCGTTTTGCAGCATCAACTGCAAACTTAGAATTTATGTACTTGGGTGGGCAGTGCGTCGATGAGCCACCCACTTGACTGATGTAAATGTAATTAAAATAAAATCAGCCACCATATCAGGCAGCTTGTTCTAAACTTGCGACAAAAAACCTGTAGTGTTCTCATGAACTTAAAATTTGGTGTGAATATGCGACATATTTTCATATCAAGTGCAACTTGTAAAGCAAAAGCATCGTTTTCTCCAAATTTTCAATTTTCGTGGGCTTATATCCGTAGTGATAGTCTTCTCATAGAGCTACGCAATAATGATTATTTCTAGAGAATATTTTATATCAGTTGACGTTACTCATAGTTTTAAGGTGTAGTTAAAATACCAAAATCTTACTTTTGTATTTAGTTAGTCTATGCGTTTTGTTCGTCAACATGCGGCGAATAACTCGAAAAAAAAAAAAACTGTATCTGGATTTCGATTCCTTTTTGGCGTGACGAATAAAATGTTATTTTCTCGTACCTCAGTGTGTAAAAAAAACTATTTTATTCAGACTAGAAAACTATTTTTACGCTTCGATGTCCACCGACGTCTCCTCGCGGCTCTCGGTTATCGGGTGCAGGACACTCAACTCTGACAATCTCCGCACTCGATTCAGATCTTGTGCCGAACACAGCGGTGTGTCGACTTCTATTGTCTCATGGAACCGATTGTAGTCGGCCTCGTACCTGTCGTGCTTCTTGTTGAACCTGACAAACGCAAACAAAGACTGTGAGAGAATGTCGTAAAGATGAACGAATAAAGCCTGAAATAACTCGAGTAAACTGGATAATCAAAGGTGCTAAGTCGTGCCTTTTCTGGGGCACTAACCAAATTCTGAGTTTAGTGCCCCTGGAAAAGCACTAAAGGGTCCTAAAGGTGCTAAAAATTAGTGCCTTTGGAAAGGCACTAAACCCTTAGTGCCTTTTAAAGGTAGTACTCAGCACCTTTGTTTATCCAGTGTCATGGTGTCATGTCAACCTAAACTCAGAAAGACACATGGCCAAGTGCGGTCACAGTCACACACACACACACACACACACACGCGCGTGCCTCAACATGGGGTACAGCTTGTGCCCCCAGAGGATGTCCGTCTGGCTGTACGACGTCCTCGCCTGCGTGGTCTGACCCGTGGCCTGGTTCGTGCCCTCCAGGAAGACGAGGAGCTCGAACGGGTCCCGCTGCACGTCCCTGGGGTCGAACCGGTAGAGCGGGCTCTTGTCGTCAATCCTGTGCATCTGCGGCGACACAGCGTAGAGCACGGTGAAAAAACTCGACTTGACGTTTCTCAAGTAGAAGTTTTAAAGTCAGAAAAAAAAAGAAACTTCCCCCCCCCCCCCAAAAATTTGAAAAATATGTAATATTCCCAGAAAAAAAGGGAAACAAACAAACTTTTCAGGGAAAAATCTGATGACGTCGAAAAAAATTTGTGTAAGGTTACTTTTTCGTAAGGTCCCTGGTTGTTGACTCACCACGGTGGCGGGCCAGGCCATGGACAGGTTCTTGGCGTTGCCGTTGAAGGTGACGGCCAGCTCCGTCTGGTCCGTGTCGGGGTCCTCGCCGTCGCCCACGCCGCGCACCACGACCCAGAGGCGCGCGCTCACCAGCTCCGACTTGCGGATGTCGCCGACGCGGAACATGAGCGTGAGGCAGCCGTCGCGCACCGCGACCACGGCGCGCCGCCCGAACAGCAGCGTCTGCGAGCGCAGGTGCGGCCGCGTCAGCTTGGCGAAGACGATCCCCACGGAGAAGGCCTGCGGGCGGGCGACCCTTGTCAGTGGGGCAGCGAGCCCAGACCAGAGCGAGAGCCGAGAGTAGTGGGGGTACAAATATCATGGCAGCCTCGAGAGGCTTAGAATTACCATAGGGCCGTACTGCGTGGTATTTACACCCCTGGCGTACAAATGTCATAGCTGCATGAAAAGGTGCAGAATGACCAAAGGAACGTAAAGGGACTGGGTGGTATTTACACCCCCGGGGTACAAATATCATGGCTGCCTGAAAAGGTGCAGAATGACCATAGGAACGTAAAGGGACTGCGTGGTATTTACACCCCTGGGGTACAAGTATCACACTACTCCAATTATTAATCCCTGCGGTTTTCCTGGGCATTTATTAAGTGCCATGATATTTGTACCCCCCCCCTCCTCCCCGACTCTAGGGCACGTATTCACCTCAATGATCATGCCGCACACGCTCTGGAAGCAGAGCACGACCACGGCCTGCGGGCAGTCGCGCGACGGGTACGCCGTGCCGTAGCCGATGGTGGTCTGCGACTCCATGGAGAAGATGAAGGCGGACGTGAAGTCCATGACGTTGATGAGGCACGGCAGCTCGCCCACCTCGCGCACCGTCTCCTCCATGTCGCCGTGCGCCAGCGCCATGGCGTACCACACGAGCGCGAACAGGAACCAGCTGACGAAGTGGCTGAGCAGGAACACGATCAGCGTGTACCGCCAGCGGCACTCCACCAGCGTGTTGAACAGGTCCTGCAATACGGTCCCTCTCAGATTCCTGCCGAGATATTTCCGCGAGCATGAATTGAAGAAGCTATTTACGTCTCTCTCTCTCTATTTCGTGCATCTATCTTTGTTTTGCTGTTTTTGACCCAGTCCTGCTAGGCTAGCCGCGCCTCGCCGCGGTGCCTGCCCGCAATAAAACCGCTATCAATTGTCTCTCTCTCTCTCTCTCTCCCTCTCCCTCTCCCTCTTCAAGTAATTGCGATAAGATCGATAAGGCATCTCGGCCGTCGCCAATCCGACCCAAACGAAACCGGGCGCGAGCGGGGAACACCGAGGTGGCCCACCTGCAGCTCCTGCAGCTCCTGCAGCTCCTGCATCTCCTCTACCTCCTGCACCTCCTGCACCTCCTGCACCTCCTACACCTCCTGCACCTCCTTCACTTCCTGCACCTCCTGCACCTGCTCGTCCGCTCACCTGCGCCAGGCGCTTGTGCTTGTTGGGCACGTTGAGCGGCAGCACCTGGGCCTCGCCGGCCTTCCCGACGAGTCGCCGTCCGTTGGAGTGCCTCCTGCATCAGACACGGACCACAATGCGGTTAGCAGTTATAGCCGACTTGTCGCGGTTCTTTGGAAGGGACACTCCCCATCGCATTCTTTGGTCGTTACCTTTGGCTGATTGCTGTCTTGTGTTTCTTAGTGAGCGGCGAGCTCACATCCTCGGCCCGACCTTCACCTGGAGCAAGTACTTTAAACCTCGATCGGAAGGAAACACTACTAACTTTCTACTATATCAACATCATAAAATTTTTGCTCGTATTTCTTTTTCATATATATATATTTTTATTTTTTTTAACGTGATTGGTTATTACGTTTCGATACACTCGACCCGTCCGTTCGATTTGGCTTTACCTGAGCCGTCCATGGCGTCCAGGGGGTGCGGGGGCGGCGGCGCGGGGCGGACGTCGTGACGTCACTGCTCGGCGGGCCAAATAGTGGCGGTAGTGACGCTCCGGATCACTTGGCTGTCTGTCACTGCCATCGTCCATCGGACGGCCCGTCTGAGCGGAGCCGCCAGTGCGCTCGAAGAAGAACACCAGATAAGCCGTCCGTCCGATCGGGATAGTCTCTCTCTCCCTCTCTCTCTCTCTCTCGCTCTCTCTCTCCCTCTCTCTCTCACTCTCTCTCCCTCTCTCTCACACACACACTCTGCGACTCTATCCGAGGAGATTACACATAGATCTTGTGGGTCGCGCGATCCATCTCGCAACCACTAACTTCGACCACAGCATCATTACAAAAAATTATTGGGAAATGAAAAAATTAAGGCATTAATTATTATCTAAAAAGCAAAACAAATTGGAACATGAACTTTAAATTTTTGACAGTGTCAGTATTTTGCAAAGAGCATTTCGCGAGTCATGGGGTTATTCGCCTCGTCAGATTCCACAAGGCATCCTAACACGGTAAAAAGAATGTTTTGAATTCTGACGAAAATTCCAATGCTTTCCCTTGGAAGCTGCGGGTTTTAAGACAGAGTCTGGGATTCAATGGCCAATCTTGAAATCATCCACCCGCGACCTTGAAGTCCAAGAAATTTCCTCGGATTTCAAGACATTTTTTTTTATACCGTGCAAGGATCGCGAACCTTCCTTGGAGGAGTTTGACCACCCCCTGGGATATGTACGCCCCCATGGTGTACCGTATATACCTGCGCACAGCGCGGCACACTGCTGCTGCGTGTCCGCCCCGGCGGCGCCGCGAGGGGACTGCGACACGCTATGTAAATACGTACAATAATACCGAGTGGGGGGGAGGGAGGGCTGCTGGAGCGGGGAGCGGCTCCTTGGAGATGCAACCCCCTGGGCATCGCAGGCAGCGCTGGGGG